GTTCTAAGGAGAAAAGCTGTCTCAACTTTTCCTCGTAAGACCTTCCCTCCATTCCAGGCAACATCCTGGTAAACCTCCTCTGCACCTTTTCCAACACCTCCACATCTTTCCTGTAATGAGGCAACCAGAACAGGACACAATACTCCAGATGTGGCTGAACCAGGCTTTTGTATAGCAGGAGCATAACTTCACGGCTCTTGAACTCAATCCCTCTATTAATGAAAGCTAACACACCATATGCGTTCTTGACAACTCTATCCACCTGGGTGGCAGCTTTCAGGGAACTGTGAACATGAACCCCAAGATCCCTCTGCTCCTCCACGCTGCCAAGAATCTTTCCGTTAACCCTGTATTCTGCTTTCAAATTTGTCCTTTCAAAATGATTCACCTCACACTTTTCAGGGTTAAACTCCATCTGCCACTTCTCAGCCCAGCTCTGCATCCTATCAATGTCCCTTCGTAACCTAGAACAGCCCTCCGCACTATCCACAGCTCGACCCACGTTCGTATCATCCGCGAACTTACTAATCCACCGTTCCACTCCTACATCCAAATCATTTACAAAAATCACAAATAGAAGAGGACCCAGAACTGATCTTTGTGGTACACGACTTGTAGCTGGGCACCATGTTGAATGTTTTCTGTCCACTACCACCCTTTGTCTTCCAAGGGTCAGCCAATTCTGAATCCAATCTGCCACATTTCCCCCTATCCCATGCCTCCTTACTTTCTGCATGAGCCTACCATGGGGAACCTTATCAAACGCCTTACTTAAATCCATGCATACCACATCCACTGTTCCACCTTCATTCACGTGTTTGGCCAGCTCTTCAAAGAATTCAATAAGGTTTGTGAGGCATGATCTACCCCTCACGAATCCATGTTGAGTATAATGTATGCGCACTCTAATGTCTTTGAATGGGACTAGCGTATCAAACATCCTGAGCACTTTCAGTGGGCTGTTGCCTTTGAAAGGGAAAGATTTTCCCGTTCCCTGGTTTACAGTCTTGAAGTTTGATGTGCATTTTGTTTCCAGTGACACTGACGGATGCTGCTGTGTCTATGGGAACAGGTAGTTCTGGCATCTGATGGTGACTGTCACATGTGGCTCGCTGCTGTGCTCAAAAGAGAACACAAAAGTACGTTCAGGGCCACTAGCATCTGCATTGGCTACTTGCTGCTGCTTTGTTGATGTGGAATGTGTACACGGCAACCTTCTGGCAGTATTGGGCTTTGTTATTGAATTCGCCGATAAGCGACAAGCATTGATGCAGATCAAGCTTTCCAGCAGCTGGTTTGAATAAGCACCACCACATAGGAAGCACCGTTTGGACAAGTCGAAACTCCATCTGCCAGGCTTATGTTACTGCTTTGCAGGCGGTTTCCTTCCGTGCGAACGATGAACACTGTTCACAGGAGGCCGACGTGGGATAGCCACCTCAACATTGGGAGCCCTAGACGTCGAAAGCAGTCCCAGTTTTGTAACTGCCGCATTTCCGAGGTGCTGGATAGTATTTAAGTGGAAAAAGACTGCAGAAAGCTACGGAACAGAGGGATTTGAAAGTGCTCATTCATGAATCCCAAAAAGTTTTCTGGGCAATAGGGAAGGCAAATGGAATGCTGGCCTTTCTTTCAAAAGGAATGGAGAATAAAACTAGGGAGGTTTTTCTAAAACTATGCAAGGCACCAGTCAGACCACAGCTGTGAAAACTTTTGGATCCCTTACGTAAGAAAAGATATGGTGGCATTGAGGACACTCTAGAGAATGTTCACTAGGCTGTACCAGGGATAGAGGGAGAGAGCCAGGAGTGGTGGAGTGGATTGCCCTGTACTCTTTGGAATATGGAAGAATGAGAGATGATGTGTTGGAAGACTCTTACGAAAGGCTTAAGGAGGTTGGCAATGTACATGCGGAAAGGTTGTTTCCTTTCGTGAGCAAGTCTAGGACCAGGGGACATAGTCACAGAATAAGGAGGGTGATTTTAGTAAGATCAGTTTGGGGATACATGTACAAGCCTTCCTCTTGCCAATGCATGCTGAAGTGCTGCAACTTAAAATGTTGTCTGCAGATAAATACCTTTCAAGAGTTTTATACCTGAAAGCAATGATTCCTTTTTCTCAAAACCTTCTCTGTCACCGTTGTGAAATCCTAGGGGAGAAAAAGTAAAATTCAATAAGAGACACTCAGAATCAGAGTTGAGCTGTCTGGTACTTGTCTGTGTGTAAGTGGAGAAATTGCACAGTATAATTCCCAACCCACCACATACTTTACAAAAGAAACTCCTCACAGTGTTTATTAAAGTACTATGCAAATCATGTTCTGTAATTAATTGCTTGGAACTCCGTCTCTCTGTGCCATGTCCATTGAACTCCTGCCTGGCATGTTACTCACTGAATCACAACACTCATCATTTGGGAGATTTTTGAGGAGAGCGTTTTCACTTCGTTGTCTGTTGCAGTGTCTCAAAGTATAAACAGTCCGTGTCCCATAGCATCATGAATATGAATGGGACGTCTATTTAAAAGCGGCATTTAGCCAGGAATGAACGCTGAGGCTCGGGACTGGCATCCCTTTTATTTGCTTCTGTTGAAAGTTTTACTGGGGGTTAGTTATGAGAAAAATGTCTTGCGGTGTTGCTGGTGAAATGGCAGAGACAAGTAGCAGTCGTTTCGCAAAAAGAACGCACAGGCATCATGAGCTCAATATCAGCACTATAATAGCCTGTCAGCCCGGTCACAGGCAGTGGTCCAGCTTCCATTTGCAGATTGGAAGGAGGTTTTGTCTCGTCTGCGTAACTCAATAGACAGTGAGCTGTTCAGAAATAGACACCTGTAGTGCCCTGTCTTGAAGGGAGTAGATTGATTGCAGACTGAAATCAGGTACTTTGTTAGGAGCTGGCAGGTAATGAGAGTTGATGACAAGTGATGCAGCAAGATTTTTAGGTAATTATTTACCTTTGACTTTTCTAATTTTTTCAGTAAATGCTTACCATCAGGAGGGCTCACTGGGTGAGCAGTAGATAGGATATTGATGGGAGAGTGACAGGCCAATGCGTGCTTGAGGCATGCAGGGGAGGCTCTGTCACATCTCGACCGGTAAAAGACAGATTTGTATTGACCTGCGTGGAGTAATTGTGACAAAGTTGCATTGGGTACAGCCGTGGGTGGTAACTTCACATGACCAAATGCTTTTACTCTGGTCACTGCTGCAGAGAAAATGCTTCAAAAGTACGCTGCTCCCATTTGTAGAAGGAAGGAATTGAACTTGTTTTGAATAATTAAGTGCGAACATAGACTTTTACCGCGTAGAAGTCATCCATTTGGGCAGTTTGCCTGTGGCATTTCTCTGAAAAAGGCCCTCTAACTAATCCCATTCCTCTGCTTTTAGGCCAAAACCTGCTTCAGTTGCTTTTTGATGAAATATTTATTCCCTGCTGTGAGTGGTCACTGCTTCCTTTTCTGACCGAGATTCCCGAACCGTCTTCCCTGTTAACATCTCCCGACTTTCTGAAGAAGGGTCTAGGCCCGAAACGCCAGCTTTCCTGCTCCTCTGATGCTGCTTGGCCTGCTGTGGTCATCCAGCTCTACACCTTGTTATCTCAACATCTCCCAACCTATCTCTTTGCTTTTCTGGAGATGATCTTAAATCAATGGCCATCCCATCAGCAACCATGCTCATCCTTTCCCTCGCATTTATTTCATAAAACCCTTCAGAGCATGTGGACTGCAGCGATTCGAGAAGGCAGGTCAATCTCGAGGGCAACCAGGGACAGGCAATAAAAATACTGGCCAGCCAGCAAAAAAAAAAAAGTTTTGAAATATATTTTCCCTCCGGGTTAACACTGTACCTGAAGCTGCTGCTGACTTTGAGACCGTTTTTATTCCAGGAGAACCCTTGTCATTTGCTCAGAGATACTGCGATTCCTTGAAGCTGCACGCCTGTCTGAACCAATTGCGCCAAGGCCTGTCTGATGTTTGCTGTTGACGTTTTCTTTTCAAATATAGACACGCCATTTCACTGCCAGACATAACATGAAGACATCGGTCCTGTCATGTGAAGATCTGTGCTCAGCAGTGATCTGCAGTCAGGCTTTTTGCAGTGTTTCTGATCACTCTGTGATGCATTGGAGACACTTGTTTTGATTTTTCTCCTCTGGCTGGACAATCAGCCAGCCTGGAGCCTGTCCTCCCACAGACACCACCCGGAATTTACCACAAGGGTCGTTGATTTTGACATCCATAACTTGACATTTTCAGGGAAGGGGTGGGGGAGCAGCAAGAGTGTATGAAGTGGCTGTCGTATCTAGTGGTGGAAGTGCCAAGTCTAAACGAAACAAACAAATTGCAAGGCAGGCCTTGGTGCGATCTGTTTAGCTTGAGGTGCAGCTCCAAGGAAACACCGTCTCCATCAGTCCGTCCTCTGAAACACGGGTCTGGATATAGGTCTTCACATCCAAAATTGTGTTTCTGATTTACAAATGAAGTGGAACTTTTTTTTTGTTTAATTCAGGGTTTTTCCAAGAGATTACATGGCTGTGGGAGGAAGGGGTTCAGAAATGTTACCTCCACCATGTTACAGCCCTTCATGAAGGTGGTTGGTCTTGATGAGCCAGCTGATCTTGTTGTGCCCATCATTCTGTACCCCTCTGCGTACAGCTTCAGTTAGTCCCAGCCTCTGTGGCAGTACTTTGATCAAATGTTCGATGAATCTGGAACCCGAGAGTTTGATCAAGGGTGATACTTGGCAGAGGAACGTTCGGAGAATTTTGAAAGTGGGTCTTTACTGGGTTTGCAAATGACACTGAGCCTCCTCACCACCACCACCACCACCACCACACCCTGCTCTCCCCCAGCCACCACCCCCCTGCCCAGTGTCTGGTCGTTTATGATTCTCTGTCGCACCTTGCAGCTTCCAATTAAAATGTTCTTGTCTTTCTTCTGTGTTCTCTCCTCTTTCTGTTGTCCTTTCCTTCTTCCCCCGTCCCCCCACCCCACCTCAGCCCTACGAGCCCTCATTCTGACAGCGAAGCCCTTACCAGACGTCACAAGAAGTCTCTCTTCTCCTCACACTCTGGTTTCCCCTTTCCTGTGAAGAAGAGGTACTGTCATTCCTTTGTTATTATGTTGTGTCTTCACTGCAGGCACTATTCTTTTATACCAACTGCATGTGTTTGTACAAATCAGCAGTGCCCATTGATGATGATTTGCGACCTCCTTGCTGTGCGGGCATTAAGAACGTTAGCAAACTTCATTCTCAGGGAGTGGGTGTTTCTGACCAGACCAACGTTCATTACTCGTCTCTGGTTGACCTTGAGGAGGCAGTGGTCAGGCGTCTTGAATCATAACAGTGCACATAATGAAGGTGCTGTTACAGCGCTGCCAACTGTTAAATTCTAGGCTTTAGACCCAGCAATGAAGGGGCAGCGATAAATGGACTGAGTCAGGCTGGTATGCAATATGTAAAATTCAGCATTCCCATGCAACTGCTGTCTTTCTCCTTTGGGATGGCAGAGAGCAGCGAGTTTAGAAAGGTTGTCAAAGAGGCCTTGGTGAATGCTGGATGACCGAGATTACTTCCATACTGAGTGAAGTCAAACGCAGGGTGTAGGCACACGCACGCGCACACAAACTCTCACACACACTCACCCCTTGTTAAGGTTTGTGGCCGCAGCCATTAACCTTATAAGCAGTGCAGTCTACAACAGTGAAAGTACTTGCATTATTTGCTGCAATCCAGGGGAATGTTTGGGCCACGTCTGCTGTGATCACCGTCAGCCAGCTGTTATAAATCATAGCCCAGACCTTCCACTGGCCAGACAGTTGTTATTTCCAGTGTAGATGGGAAGTGTGCATGGGAACCCTGTGGGATCCCCATTGGAACAGACTCCTGAGGAATTACCTGGGAAATTGAAGATTCCACTGGGCAATTCCTCTCTGCCTCGGACCTTCCGAAAGTCTCCGTTTAAATCACTGGCTTCAGAGGGTTCCAATGAAATTAAGTAAAATAGTTGCTCTGGAAAAGTTAGGCTATTAAATGTATTGTCTAACTCATGAGAAACTGTTCAACTCAGCCCATCCTTAGCTCACACAGCCCCAACTACACCTTCCCCAGAGAACTTACACCCCTGTTCCATAAACCCCGTGTCCCCTGCTGCCAGATCCAAACCTCCACCAGACTGGACCTGTCACCTGACATACTCCTCCCACCATTCCCAGTCCATGCCGGACCTCACCAACACCCCCACACCCCACCCCACGACCCTCGCAGTTTAGTGGGAATGTTGCACGTGTTCATCAGTCTTTAATGATGTTTGTTGAATCGATGAGGGGAATTTCCCCGTGGTTTATTTTCTCTTTGAACAGTTCAATGGGCCCTTTCATGTTACTTGAGAGGGCAGATGATTTAACATCTCACCCCAAAAACAGCAGTTCTGGCAGTGCAGCACTCTCAGTACTGTCCTGGAGTACCAGCCTGAACTAGCTGCTCAAGTACCTGGAGTGGGCATTGAATACAATCACCTGATTCCGAGGCAGTAATGCTCCAAGCTGAGCCGCACGGGGATATTTTCAGCTTTCAGCAGAGCAGGTTGGATGGGCTGAATGGCTTACTCCTACTCCTATTTGCTCTGTTTCTAAGTTCACTGTGCATTGCATTGCACCAAGATAGAGGGAAAACCTCTTTTCAATAAACAGGATAGACTGTCCTTGCAATTACTTTTTGGAAGAAGTTGTGTCTATTTAGGAAAACTGCAGAATTGAACAAATGAGAAAGGGGGTCATGACAAGGCCACTGAAGGAGCTTTAGCAATTAATTTTCGCCAACCTGTTAGCGATCTGGAAGTGAAAAAGAAAGCTCTAGGCAGACTAGGGCCATGAAGTAGTCACAAAACTCTGCCTCAAGAACTGAACATCTCTAAACCTCACTCTCACACACTATCGTGCTGTTTCTCTCCTGTAGCTAAATGCTTCACTCCCTCCCAGTCTCTCTCACTCTCTCCCTCGTTCTTTTTTATTCTCTCACAGTCTTTCTCACGTTCTCTCATTCCCTGTATCACTTTTCCTTTCACTTTCTCTCTCTCTCTGCCTATCTTTCACATCTCTCTCTCTCTCTCTCTCTGACACACCACGCATCCTCACTTGCTGTCCTGCTCTATGTTAAGTTCATAGCCAATTTGTGTTTTTCATTCTCATTGCAGAATTTTGGATTTGCAGAAAACATCCCAGAGGAAGCGTATTTCTAGCGACAGTTCGGTTGCTGAGGCACTTGCCCACAGTGAGTCGCTCAGAGTGTCAAAGCCTTTGCTCAGCAGGTGAGGAAAAAAGCTTCAAAAGGAAATGGACACAAAACCGAAACAAAATGCCAGTGCCTGAAAAGAGGGGGAAGTCACAGGGAGAACGTGCAGAGCAGAGCCGAGCTCGATAGAAGCACTCCACAATGCACAGTTTCAAAACGGGACAGAAAGTAGCCAGACTCCCTGTTCTTTATGAACCGCATGGTTCCCATCCATCTCTGCAGCTATCCTGCAACTAAGTGGCTCTTATTCATCTTTCCTGCACCCCCCCATCCCCCCTCTTTCTTGAAAACAAGCGAATCAACTGTTCCAAATGGTTTGTGGGCATTGTTCAAATTTAAATGGATGTGACCTGCATTGAACATTAATGGTGGAGAAATGTCAGTTTCAAGGGTTTTGATGCATTCTTCAGGAATTGAACTGAATTGGGGTGGGGGTGTAGGAGTGAGGGAGAATAAACATGATCTCCCTCCATCCCCAGGTCCTCCGAAGCTGACTGGGAACCAAAGCCAATACTCTAAATTAAACATAAAACTGCACACAATGCACAGCCTTCTCTTCTGCTGGATGTCTGACTCTCACAGCTCGTTGGGAGCAATGCCTACTCACTCGCTCACGACAAAATAATCGTCTTTTTCAATCTGCATCTCTGGAAAATAATTCCCACTCCATTTGTTGGAATGGGTTTGCAATGTTAAATAACACTTCAGATGTTTCCCTGATTGTCTTGGCCACTGAAAGTTTTTGCCTGTTCTGAATCCGGATGGCGCTTGCTTGTTCACACCTGTTTTGACTCCCAATTCAACATATCCTGCTCGCTCAACAACAATGGTTGTTTCCAATGATAGCCCCCCCTTGCCATATTTGTGATCTCCTCCAGGCCAGTAATGCTGTGAATTTCTGCACTCCGACCGTTCAGACATCTTGCACATCTCCAGTTCTGTTGTTCCATCACTGGTGGATGTGCCTTTAACCGCTCTTTCAATTCCAGCCCCCTCTCTGGTTTTGTGACACTTCTTAAATATTCCTCTTTGACTGAGCTCGTGTGAACAAAGACCTCCTTAAGTGGCTTGGTGTCAAATTTTGCTTGTTAGTCCTCCTGTAAAGCACTTGGAGGGGTTCTGTTCTGTTCAAGATGCTATATAAATGCATGCTGTTTTTGCACAGATGCAATGGATTCCCCCATTCTCCTTGGGCTCCAGGCCCTTTTCCCTCTTCCTCCATCCCTTGTCCCACCAGTATTTGCATCTATCCAATGACAGGAAATTATTGAAATGAGCTCCAAGCTTAAGAGCTTTGAAAATTGGGAGAATTTCTGTACTCCAACTGCTATCAAATATTTAGTGTCACTAGCCATTATCATTAGTCCTCTGAGGGTAGGTGGTCCCATGGCAAACCCTCTGCCATTTTGTTTCTAATGGCTCTTTAATCCTCTTTTTTGAACCGGGTGAGTGCACATAGTATTTTCTCGCACTTGTTTCCAAAGCCGTTCGTTACCCAGGCTTGTCTGTGGTTCAGTCCATTCATCATTCCTCAATATGAGAACAGCACTATGGAAAACGACTCTCAATGAAAATAAGATTTTAAACATGTAATTTGAGCCATTTATGTGTAAGGGCAACTCCCTTCATCATGTAATTTTAATTTCAAAATGTAGCACGGCTGGTTTGAAGGGTTGGGGTTTCCCCAAGTCCATATTTGTGGAGAGCTTCCACAACTTTCTCCACAGTAAACCTTGGCCTTTATGCAATTTCTCCAGATGTTGCAATTCCTCCATTCCCTGACCCTCCATCTTAAGGCTTCTTCCCAGCTCCCTGACCTCAGAATTTTATCCTCTTTCCCCTTACCCGATCTCGGATTTGTGACCTGTTCCCAACTTCTTCTTCACAGTTTTGCCAAATGTTGGTCTGCAGCCTAAGTCACTTTGCACACAAGCTGATGGCACTGGGCTATCTGCCTGGATCAGTCATGGCTTGCTGAAGTCACCTTTCTGGAGACGGCTGTAGATTTTGAATATCTCTTTTGGAACCTTCCATTTGCAATGATGAGGCCTTCTAATCTGTTATCAACTCTGAACGTTTGATGAATCAGCCAGAGAAGAGAAAGAGGGCAAACACTGTTGTTCCATATAAAATACATCTCTCTGTGTGTTCAATTCTATCACACCCACAAACCAAGTATTGTAGACTCAGTGATTCCAGTGGAATGACTTGTATTCTTTGCGAATGCAACACCTTTCCCTGCTGCAGGTAGACTTCTTTGTTTGGCAAAATGTCCTTTCAAAAAAGTCCAAGATGTTGATATAAATGCGCCGCCAATGAAACTCTAATGTTTCAGATAGCATATCTCCATAACAATGTTCCTCCTGAGATCTGTTCTTCAGAACTAACCACAATACTGCAGAATAGGTCAGACCAAGGTTTTGTCCAACTGAAACATCATTTCCTCATTTTAGTATTCCAGTTTCCTTAAGATGAAGGACGGTATTTTGTTTTTTTTTTACTTTTTGTGGCTGTGCACTAACTTTCAGTGTTCTGTGTCCACGGACATTCATTTGTTGCTTCATAGTTTTTAGTTTTTCCCGACTAACAAAATACTCCAATTTACGATTCTTGGAATCAGAATATATGACACTTACAGTTATTTCATGAAATTCCAATTGCCACAGGTTTGTCGACCCACTCAGTCTGTCAATGTGTCTATGCAACCTCCTGCTCCCCCATCTGCATAATTTTGTTATAAGCCTCTCTATTCCTTTGCTCAAACCATTGATGTATACAGTGAAAATTTAAACCCAAACATAAATGTCTAGGTAAATACCATCCTGACAATGAGAATAAAGGTCCTTTATCATCATTATTGTCTGTCTCCTACCCTGCAACCAATTTCTAACCCATACAGCCCCTTTTCAGATATGTTCTGACACATCTCCAGGGTTAGTGGAACTTGAGTATATAACCACTGTGCCACAAAGACATTCCAGGAAATGAATATAAATAATAAGCACAGACAGTCCCTTATCCACAGCATGTTAATGATCTCATCAAAACATTTCACTAGATTAATCAGGCATGCTTCAGAAATCCATGCTGATTGTCTGGTCACTCATAAATAACCAAGCGCTCCCTCGGATGACCCTGACGAACAACTCAGAGTCAGGAATCCACAAATTGCAAAACCATTTATAAATGGTTCAGCATCAGGAATCTGCTAATGGGCAGTAAATGGTCAGGTGTTCACAAGAGAGAGAAGGATAAAGCCTTTGATCGAAGGATATTTGTAAGTTATAACCTAATTTTTTCTCCTTATTGCTGTAGGACAGGTGCCAAGATAGCCAGTGTGCATCGATCGAACACAACAGCAGCAGACTTTAAACCAACATCTGTACCAGCGTTGACACAGGGACTATTGTCAAGCCAGGAAGCAGCACGGTATGGACTTCAGTGTGGCACTCCCTGAGAAAATTTGACATTTCCCTTTTGACCGATTTTAATATCAGAGTGTGCACTTTCTTTCCCTGCCCTGTGTTTTGCGATGCTAAAGCGGCTGACCTATGACAGCATCGTTTCAGTTATAAATGGTAAACAGCTGGCAGCGTAAACCTGGGCTTGGAGAGTCACAAGTGAATTTCTTTTCCTTTCGGTAATTGTTTGGAAGATTATCATGCACGTTTTCTGCTAGCTCTTCCGATCAGCATTTGTCTAACACTGCATTATTGTGCCCACTATTATGTGCCAGGCATTCCAGCTCTCACGGAGACAGCTTCATTTATGTAGTCTGGGTGATCTGCTACTGAGAACTCACCACAGGACTGATTGGAAATTGGCTTGTAATAAATTTAAAGCCTGCTGATAAAAAATGAATGAGGGACACATACTTTAAACCAATGTATGTAGCCTTTTAAAAATAAGTTGGTAGATGGAAGAACACAGATGTTGGTAAAAATGCTGCAAATATTTCAATGTGCTTATTTTAATGTTTGCAAAAGTTGCTTGGGTGATTAGGGGGAAAAAAATTTCTGAGTAAATATTGGTATGACAGCAAGGAATTATATTATTCAAGGAAAAACCCTTGCTATGTGAATGTAGAATTGCCCTGGATGCGATTGAAGTAAATAGGCAAACAACACTTGGTGGCAAAGAGACTGAGCAGTAAGAGAAGGGAGTTTAAATATTGGAATAAGTGCTGAGTCCATTGTCAGAGTCAGTGAGATGGAGAGTTGGAATAAGACTTCTGCCAGATCTTGCAGCAGGCAGGGGCTAAGTGTGTTTGATAGCAAGCAGAATCTAAGGGTGGCATCATCTGCTCCCTGGGGTGGAAAGGGCATTCGGTTAGGTGGAGCAGTTACACACTCCAAACTCTGCCACATTCCCACCTTACTCGGATGACGTTCTTGACAGCTAGGTCCATGGTTGCCCTTTTTACCCAGCAATAAATTCAGACCCTAAAGCGAACATTTAATGGTCACAGCCCATATGCGCTGGGGTCAACCTGGTTTCAATGGGTATGAGAGGCTTCTTGCAACGCAGTGGTAGTGCCCCTACTTCTGAGCCAGGAGGTGGGGGGGGGGGTTCAAAGTCTTACCTGCTCCAGAGGTGTGCCATAACATCTCTGAACAGGTTATGTAGAAAATACCTATAACTGGGTCTGTCCCCATCCGGTGACCCTGTTTGTAGCTACATACAGTTCAATTGTCACCTCGGGATGGGAATGGGCTGGGAGAGCTTTGGGGATGTGTTTGGGGGAATTCCTTCAATACAAATGCAAATGATGCAAGTTATGGACATTACATCAATCAGTCACTTACAGCAGTACATCATTGACGAGGGCGTTACTCCATTATCTTCATCTTCACCAGACTTGATAAGTTCAACTTTTAATATTCTTGCACCTGACTGGCGTAGCACAGAGAAAATCAAGCCCTTGGCTATTTCTGGAGTTGTCACACGAGTTAAAGATTTCATCAAAGTGCGCAAAATTCTTAAATTTCCTGTCTTTTTAGACCCAGGTTGACAGAAAGCTGGCTGCGCTTTCTGTACTGAAGAATAAATAGATTTGAGCCACAAGCAAGCAACTATGAACTGTTTACATATAACTCTACCATTTAAGACTGTAACCTCCATCCAAAACTCTCCCTACACACTTACACAGACAGACAAATTGGTGTTTTGGATGGATGGAAGGACTGGAAGGCAGTCCTGTCCACAGGCATTGAGATGATCCTTTTTGCTGCTCTTCAATCATAAAAACAGTGCAGGAGAAATTCAGCTGAGCTTTTTCAGCACTTTGCATTTTTATTTCAGATTCCCAGCAACTCCATTATTATGCTTTTATTTGCTGTTTTCAATCTCGATTCTCCAGGTAATTTCAGTTCCTTGCAGAAAATACAGAGCAACTGGTTCACACATTATGAAGCCTCTGGCTTATTAGTTAAAAGCCTTAGTTTACAGCAGTGAGGGGAAAGAAAACTGGCTGTTTTCATTCTTAAGGTTTTTTTTTATTTGAAGAGGGAGAGAGACATCACCTTCACTTTTGGAGTTCTCTGGCAATATCATTTGCAGCCACAAGCTGTTCAACTAGCTGGGAGTCAATCATATAGTTGTTTGCAGGCAGAACACCTTTGTCAACAACAACTGGTCCACAGACCAATCAGCTATTTGTTGCTGACTGATTCTCATCATGTACATACTCCCTCGTGCCAGTTTGTCTTCAACTAACTTTTTCCCATTGGCTGAAAAAGCAGCAGTGCCAACATCACTTACAATAAGTGTTAGCAACTTCCTTTTAAAAACTGCAACAATAGTTCTACAACCCTTGGCTTTTTTCTTAAGTAGTCCTTTTTCCCATTTCAGTCCACAATCAAAAACATTTAAACATAAAAGGATATGCCCTTTACAATATTTACCTCAACTACCTATGGTCTGTTTTCCCAGTTATACTCTCGGAATAGTACTAAACCAGTGTTGTGAAGCTCACAGCGAACCAGTATTGTGTTACTTCATTGAGCTGCTCATTTGTAAGTGTAAGACCAACTGAGCCATTCCAAAAAGATGCAATGTTCTACAAGCAAATAATTATCAAGGTATTAATGATTTGAATAAACTAGACAAGATTTCTCATATAATTGCTTTAACCATGGCATGCGTGGTGCCAAACCCAACCCACTTGAAGCACCCACATTCAGCAGTGATAAGTTGCATTGACATTAAATGGTGATGGAATTCTGACCCATCATGGCTGCTTGGATTTGTGAGATCTTTATTTGCCAGGAAGAAAAAATGTTACAGAGGGAATAACAAGAATATCACATCAGTTTGACAGGGCTCGGAGGGCCACTAGTCCCAGCAACACAGGACTCTTGATACTTTTAAGATATTGATCATATCTTCTGTCAGTTCCATTTCAGTTCTGACTCTAATCCATGAATCTTGAATTATAACTTTAATATTTTAAGTCCCAGGATCATCCTTCCAGTTCCTCCTTCAGCTGCTTAAAATTGCAAATAGTGTCGAGTGAGCTGAGTTTAGAGTCTGCCCAAGCAGGAAAGGACCTGGAAGTTTCTGTAAACTTAATTTGATATCAAGGTTCAGGGCAAGGGAGCAAATTCCCTCCCCACCTCCTGCGCCCACAACTCCCCTGTTTGACCACTTTCTAAATTTTAACTGCTGACCATAGTTGTAACTTTGTTTCCCAGCTAGTTGTCCACAGCTATCAGTAGAGCGGTATATTGGGCGTGGTATGTTACAGACAAATGAAGTGACACTACCCATTTTCCACTGGGGTGCTCAGGATGAATATTTACTTCGTTATATTTCTCCCTTCTTCCAACTATCATCCGTTTTAAGTTCCATTTGAAAGGCGCGCCTGATTCCAGTCACATTTCAAAGGGCTGACCACTCTTCTTTAATAGGATAGCAACAGACCTATCCTTCTGACATTTTCTGTTTTAATTCCAGAATTTGCTGCTGCACTTCTTCATTCAACTTCAGTACAAGGCTTCATTTATTTAGAAGAAGCACAAAATATGAAAGCTCTAGCATCTGTTTTATCCCGAAAGATCAAGGGTGTTTGAAAGTAACTGGCAAAAAAAAAACCTCTCATTTTGTTTGATGCACATCAAACTCTGGCTTTCAGAAGGAACAGTTAATTCTTTTTTCGATAAATATATGTTCGTTAATGAGCCTTCCTCTGACAAGCGCATCTCATGTCAGTAATACTGATGCCAGCCAGTATCCTGTGGGCACCACAGTTTCCATGGCCAGGCTTTCACTATGTGCACTTGAAATTTAATGCACCGCATTTCAATAGCTCATGTCTACGCTGCTGAACTAAAAACAACTCTCATAAGCACCAAACTAGAAAACACAGGGTGCAGGCTATTATTGAAATGCTGCAGCCTGTTTCAGGGAGTCAGGCAAAATGCTCAATACAAAAGGACTTTTAAGAATTTTAACTATTCCATGCTACTGTGGAATCTCTAGATAACGTATGCTACATGCAACAGTACCATGCACTGAGCTTGGTTGGAGCTTTGCAAGAATCCATAAAAAGATCAGTTAGATGGGTGAGTTGAAGGAGCAGCTTTCTGTGCACCTGGGAAACAAAATAAGCGAATAATATCACATCTAAGACTGCTCAGATCTTCTTGCTGGTTCCAGTGTACTAAGGTTACACTAGAACGCAGATACTTAGCACCAAGCAACAATTAATTGTCTCCATAATATATATAATATTAAATATAAATCTTAAACCACTAACTTTCACACAGCTAGGTACCGTCACCTTGCTCCACCTCCCATTTTCTCTTGTCACGTACTGTAGTTGCATTTCTGACTTTGCAAACTGATGTCTACTTAAATTTCTGTCTGCACTTCAGCTATTTATTAATTTCAGGTTTTCTATTGAGGTTCACTTTTGAAATATTTATATCTGTCTGTGTCAGGTTTTTCCTTATTCTGCAGATTATTATTGGTGATCTGGTCATTATTTCTGTGTTAATTGTTGGGGTTTTGCTGTGCACAGTTAGGGACAAGGTGTTCTCAGTTGTGATAGTGATTATTCTACAAAATTACTTCAATGGGTCCAAACTGTTTCAGAATATCCTGCGGCCGCGAAAAATCATAAATGTCAGATTGTCCATTATTTCTATCTTTCAGCAGTTTTTTTACACGTGTGTATATATACTCCACAAAGCCGTAAGTATTTTCTAAAAGAAAAGAGCAGTGAATTTGGAAAAATAATTTTGGTTCTTTGTATTGATGGTTTTGATGAATACAGTTTCTCTCTCAAATCAGAAAGTTAGTGGTATATATGATTATTTCTTTGCTGGTAGCAGAGATGTAATCTGTCTCCACAAGCATATAGCTAGATTTGCAGCATGCTATCTATTTGAATGTTAACTGTGCTGAATGGCGCAGTTTGAAACCGAAAGAGTGCACAGACGATTACAACTCTGCTTTGAGGAAGATCTGTAACTACTGTCGAAATGGCTGGAGGCATAATGTAGAAGGAACAAGCCAGTTCTTGATGTATAAAGAGAAGGGATTAGGTGATTAACATTTTTTCAGAAGCTGGCTATGAGTCCAGACAAATATTCATCCCTCAACCAACATCATACTAAAGTAGACTGTCTCATTGCTGTCTTGTTTCTGTTTGTGGGACTTTGCTATGTTAAAGTGGTTGTCCTATTTCCTGCAACAGCTGCTCTTCAAACATAACTAATTGGCAGTAAAGCACATTGGAACATCCTGAAATAGTGAAATGCAAATCTTCCCTTTTTTTAAAGCTATCTGACAGTACTCTAGTCTTTTTTTTAATATTGTTCTTGGGATGTGATCATCATTGGCAAGGCCAGCCCATCCCA